TATCATGTATGTAACTTACATGTGACTTATCAGGTCTTAATCATTTATTGTGTATGTATTTTTAATAACTATTGAATCGCTTAATGGTTCGTATTCAGGTTTGGTATGTGTGAGTTTGAGAATTCATGCTTGTTACTGTGCTAATTAATAGTGTTTTCACAATATTTTGGATATAAATATCCCTTGCAGAGTTGATGTCATACGGCTCGTTCACTGAATCGCTGGCCGTCTTAGTGATCAGCCGTAAAACAGTGATTCTGTCTAAATGCACTTACATATTATTGGTGGAGTTCCCTTTAAAATCTTAAATGATTCCCTTTGAGCTAAATTATTATCACTGTTTCCCTTACAATATATTTGTGTTAAAATAATTATATTATAATTGTATTAGAGTCTTACACACATGTTATACAGTTAATCTGAGTTGTGAATTAATTTGAGTGCTGACAGCTATTATGGGAGTGGTTTGATGGAGCGCAGGAGATGCAGATAACTTGATCTTGACCCTTAAGAAACTTTAATTAATGCTGTCACATACAGGGGCGCGGGAAGATGTTTTCGTTTGGGGGTGCTGTGTGTGTCTATGTTGGGTGAAAGGGGGGCGGGGGTTTATCTCATTTGACAACTCCACAAAGCACTACGTCTCCATCTCCTGAACACCTGACAATAACTGTGGAACACACACTATTTATTCACTCATACACTTGTTTATCTAACACACATACTCAGTCTATATTTCAATTTGCACATAATATACCTGTACATACAACTGTCTATTGTTATATACCTGTACATACAATTGTCGAGCTGTATATTTTTATTCCTTATTTACTTTATTTTTTATTATCTGTGTTATTTTGTTCTGTCACTGTCATTCTGTTACACTGTGGAAGCTTCTGTCACGAAAACAAATTCCGCATATGTGTAAACATACCTGGCAATAAAGCTCATTCTGATTCTGATTCTAAAAGTCCCTTGTGGATAAAGATTTGTGAAAATGTGCCTTTGCCAAACTCTCTAGTCCTTTACACTGCTGAGAGAAAACACAACTCACAATTACTTCCAGCGTTTTCTAGGGTAGCTACACTTGCAGGGGGTCACTTTATTTGAGTCAGAATGTGAGATCTGTTAGAAGGAATTGCTGTGATAATGTAGTGGAATTATACTGGAACCTTTAATTCCAGTCCAACATTACACATAACCAATTTCCATGGCCAGTTCAGATTACTTTCTGACACTTATTATGAAGAATTGATAAGTGCACGTTACTCCAAAGAGATTTCTGAATGCCTCAACTTTGCTGAAGTCACCAAGATTTATTTTCTTCTTTTTTTTCATTAGTCTCTTCACTTTGGAGACAACTTTTCACAATTCAATCAATTCTCAATGGATAAAATCATTGCTCTACATTTCTCATAAACACATCCAAAAAAAAAAATTGCCAATGCCATTTCATGCTGACATTTTGAATAGACCATACTATTCTTATACCATTTATAATACACATTCCCCCAAATTATTATCACTGTGCATGTTGTTTCTTAGAAAAATGGTGAAATGTTAACCAAGCCTTTTTATATTTCCAATAGATTTTTCCTTTGACTGATTCCTCACATTTTTTTTTCTGAATGGGTTACGAACAGCTTTTCATGTTAACTTTGAATAGCTGAAAAAAATCTGATGTGAGTCATATTTTAATAAAAATGATGGGTCTGGATATGTGCCTGGCTATGCTCTTCTCCATCATTTGAGGAATAACTGCTGCCATCATCAATAAAAAATATACACCAGCATCTCTCCTAAAGGATATTCTGTGCTTTCCGTGGCTGGTAATAGTGCAGTGGTAGTTGTGGCAGGCAAATAGTGCTATATGGAATAAATATCATTGCAAATAAGGTGCATTATAGTGAATAAGTGGCACAATGTGTTTAGTGAATTACTATTTGTCAGCACCATAAAAAACTTCTGCAAGAAGTTATAGAAAACTGAATAGTGGATGCATAGCAAAGGTTCAGGCCATTTACCTGAGGACACAGGCTATCGATCTGTGTAGCAGCCATGCGCACTAACTTCACACCCTCCTCGTTGTTGGAGATGGAACAGGCGAGGTTGGCAACCTAAAAAAAAGAGTGAGAGAGAGATATATTAGGGGGTCATTTGTATATCGAGGTTACAGTATAAAGTGACCTTGTGGTTCTGGTTGCCAGTTTTCTGTAAATCAGGCAGGTTAAACTAGCATTTGGACAGGGACAAATAAAGCTCCCGAGCTGAGTGCACACATATACAAACACACAGTCCGTTTTGCTGTTCATGTTTGAAGCTATCAGTGCTGTGTGCAATGGATAAGGATTTAATGCTTGGCTTGAGAAGGCAATGTCAGGGCAAAATATGTACAGAGAGTTAGGGCTCATTCAAGTGTTAGATTGGTATTTGTTATTTCCCAGCGTGAAGAACATGATTTGTTGGTCCCTCATCCCCTATGCTCCCCCGGCCCCAAATCATCTCGCCTTGCTCTCTCTTTTAATATTTTAAAAATAGCTTCTATTTGAATAATTGACATCACACACTGTAATTTGAATTTTTACCAGCCAATCTCCTGGACATATTAGAGGTTGCCTCTTCATGTTCTCCTCTGAAGCAACAGAAGGACAGTGGTTCGTTCGTGTGCGCCATAGAGGCTCCCATCTCGAAAACACAATTACCCCGAAAATGTCAGTAGACACGGAGAGGGGTCCTAATTGGAGGTTGCCACAGTTCTGTTATTCACTCATAAAGTAGTCATTTTTCCATCTGAAATTTCCACCACAAGCACTTTGGTGGAATAACCAGGGTTCATTACTGAACTTCACATGCACATGTAAATCATTAGGCCAGTCTACCAAGGAAAAAAAAAAAAGAGAGAAAACGTATAATTAAACTAGCAGATGGCTCCTCTATGTGCAATACCTCCTTGTCTAATTTATCAGGTTACCCATCATGCAGTGCATCTGGCAACGCCGGATCGGTGCATATATGTGAATACACGTGTGTGATGAGAAAAGGTCTCTCTCTCGTGTTTGCTCACTTCCATCATAAGAAAAGCATCTGCGCAAGGAGCGCTGGCCAGATCGGATGCTAAAAACCTGGCTGCCTCCCCCTCCCCTGCTGCCAAAAATGTCGGATCTGACAGAAAACACCGGAATATTGCTCAGAAAGTTTATAATTTTGTGACATGTCAGACCTCGATGAAAGGCACTAATAGGCGTGCCAGTCCTGTTTTGATAACACTCCAGAATTGGTGTTCCAAGCATCTCGTCCTCTGCTGGTAAATCAGATTACACAGCAGCCACGAGTAAGGATTTTGACGGCGCTAAACTGACATATGCCTGCTGGCAAATGCAATATGTCTGAAGCCGTATCAGCGGGCGTCTCTTCTTTTTTTTAAAGGTAAATCGCGGCAAATCAAATCGGTGTTAGAAAATTCTTGCTTACAGCCCTTTTCTCCTGTTTACCCCTGACAGCTCTGAATGCTTTGATGGATCGCTCTTGCGTTTAAGTGTGTGCTTGCATGTGTAAAGACTGAAATGCTTGAGGCTTGCAAATGATGATGTGTGCATAAGAGTACCAGTGGGGGGAAAAAAAGGATTAATTGATGCATCAAGATTCTTTCTCAGACGATTCTTGATTGATTCACAAAAATTCATCAAATCATAATTATTAATAATTATTTTTTAATGCAGCATAGAGGCAACACATATATGTTTACAGATCCCATTCGAGAGACACAATGTACCACATGCTTGGAAGCTTGTGTTTTGGAACTGAATTGAATGGAACTCTCTGATTCATGTGATGCCTAAAATTCCCACCCTAATATGAGAGAAGAGAGACCCTTTTCCACTGACATGATCCCACCTTAATGAGTCGTTCACTTAAAAAGTACTGAAGTACCCATTCAAATAGTATACCTTTGTTCCATATTTACTCCTGACGGGAGTATATTTGTACCCCAAAGGCACATTTTTGTACCTAAAGTGTACATATTAATAAAAAAATTATACATATTTGTACCTTGTGAAAAACACCTCCCTAGGGACAGCTTTTGTCATTTTTTATTTATTTTTTCATCCATACCCATGGTTTCCCACTGCCAGGTCCACCTTGCAATTTAGAGGTGGAGTCAGGCATAAATGGAAGTGGGCACCAGTTCCACCACCTTGTCGGTAGAAAAAGGGGCATGAGACAGCAGCACAAAAGACCGGATGGGAAGGTAGGGGTTTGTTTTATACACCAGGATGGCAGTGTAAGACTCACAGTGTTTGCAGAAAATGATATCCTGTCATGTAGTTGGGCTGTTGCTTCCCTTAGTCCTCACTAGTCCTTCATGGTCTGAACACACAGTCAAACCAGCAGCAGCTCCTGGATGGCAGCCAGAACTGGCCGATGCTCCAGCACTCAATTCTCATAGCTGGATCCCAGCCAAGACACAATGTCCAGCCAAAAATACTAATTGCAATTATCTAAAGAACTACTCCTCCTTTGTGAATCCTTTTTATTTTCTCAAAGAAAAGGCCCTTGTTAGGTAGCCAAGGATGTCAAAATAATATTCATGAGTTTCATGCTAGGTTGAGATAAGAGTGTGTGTGCGTGTGCATTGCATGTTCGATTATTTCAGAGAAAGAGACAGCATCATAACCGTGTAGTCTCTCTGACTGACCATTATGTGTTGTCTAGTTAGACCTTTATTAAAGAACTATTGATTTCTGAGCGTTTCATTTGGACAGCCACATTCAGAGTATCAGCCTTACCCTTGAATAGTTCTTTAATTAAATAAATAAAATGAAGGAAATCTAAAATGAATACTCAATTGTGTCAATTGAATTGTGTCAATTGAAATAAATCTTAACTAAAATAGAAATATTATAATAATATAATAATATAATATAATAATAAACGAACAATTATTTAACCTTGGCAACTAACTGAAATAAGTGTACATTTCAGTTACTAAAATTAAAACTGAAATAAAAGTAAAGTTAAACACAATGAAAACAAACCTAATAAAAATGATAATCCCATGAAAAAAAAAAACTGAAAATACATGATAATTCACAATATCAATAAAAAATAAACAAAGTGATATAAATATGAATTATAAATGTACTTGTAATTCTTTTAATACAAATATCAATAATAATACAAATTAAAAAAACAGTTCAACCAAACTGATTTTCTCCAATTTTGTGGGTGCAGTGTCGGAATCAAGTTCAGGTCAAGGCTTCTGTGCACCACACATTAGGAGCATTAGTATAGCACAAAGAGTTATTTGATATGTAGAACATTTCAAATCGGTCTTTATGAGGTTCCATTAAGGTTTCAACATACAGTACGAAGGCAGATGACTAGCTCATGGAACTGCCTCCTCTCTTTGTGGACATTAAATCATTATTTCAGACACCTCAGCACTTCTTGTTGGAAACATTCCTGTCAAAATATAGGTATTGTTTATTGCATTTTTGTCTGGAAAGTGAAAAATTGAGTGAGTGCATCTCGTCTGCAGGCTGCAGTGCTCACGGATAGAATCTAAGAGAGAGTTGATGTCAGAAGAGAGTCAGTTAAGAGTGGGGCACAAGAAGATGTTAGCCTGAGTGCTTCCCCCTATTCCCCAACCGTACTCTGGTCAGAGTGCAAATAAATCAGCCTGTCAGCATGCATGAAGCAGAACGGCCCACTGGGTGGGGGGGAACAAACATAGGTCACTAAGCGTGACTGTGCGAGAGCTAGCAACAAACCTCAACAGTAAAGTCCCAGATGTTTGAAACCTGATGACCCCTGACGTGTCTACAGGGAAAGTTGGAAAGGCCCGCACAAGTTTACACACTGATTTAAATGCAAAGTTACAGGAAAAACCAAAAGTGCTGAACTTGTCGAGTTGTGACTCTGAGTTTAGCATACATGCTACGTCGCACAGATTTTGCAGCGGAGTCTGTGCAGATGATACGAGTTTGAGTGAGTAAATTTGTTTCCGCTCCCCCTCCATCATTACCTTTGCTCTCAATGCTTTGTGAGTTTTAAGGTGCAGTCACAATTACCATTTTCAAAGGTGAAGTTTCAATAGGAATCTAAACGAATGGGAATTTCACATGAGGCTGAAAGATTTCCGTACACAGTTTTCACATTATGTTCAGTTGGTCATGCAAATTCGTCACACTGACCAACAAAAAGCTTCTTGGTTTGGTGACTTTTGTGCGCTGTGCTTCATACAGTCCATTGCTACATTATTAGCAATAGACAATACACCTTATTTGACCTTGTGTGACCACACCTTTATGGCAATCATTCAGTATCAAAGTATACATCAAAGTACACTCTTAAAAATAAAGGTTCCGAAAGGGGGTTTACTCAGCAGTTCCATAGGAGAATAATTTTGGGTTCCCAAAAGAACCTTTCAGTAAACAGTTTACATTCACATTTTAACAATCTAAAGAACCTCTTTCCACTGTAAAGAACCTTCCCTTTCGTGGAACTTCGAACTGCGTCCTATAGGGGTCGCTATGGGGAACGCCTCGTCGTGACCCGTGTCTGAAGCCTACATTGAAAAAACACCAACTTGTTTGGCCGGCGACAGCCATGACGTCACTACCGTCGCAACTAGTACAAAATAGGCGCCGGTAGCGCACATCATCACTTTCTTCGTCTTCACTGACCATTCTGTTTGAAGCGTGCATTCCAAAAGCAAAGTACGAGTATTTCTTTTCCTACTATGGCGAGCACTAGCGGAGCGTTTAGAAAGTGTGTACATCCGTGTCAGCCGAAAGTCCATATCCGTGACACCCGATGATTCACACGATCTATGTGTTGTTTGTTTGGGCGAGGAGCACGCACGCGATGTCTTCGAGGAGGCAATCTGCGTGCATTGTGAGAGCGTTTCGCTGAAAAAGCTCCGTTCTCGTTTGTCTCTCTTCTCGAGTGGAGAGGGACACCCATCGGTTTCCCGCGGCTCGGGACCTGCCGCTGCTGAGGCACGGAGGAGAATGAGCTCATGGGGATCTCAGGTGGACCTAGCCGATGAGGCTGAAGGGGCGGTTCCCCTCTTCCGCGCATCGGTGTCGGGCAAGAAACAGCCACTGGACGATGA